GTCACCGTCGTGTGCCGTTTTCGGAGGATAGTTTGCATAGCGCTGTGAAACTTTTGGCAGAAAAAAGAGCCAGGAATATGGAAGAGAAAACCGTCAAATTTGAGGAAAATTTGAGGAGGTTGTCCCAATAGACAGTGCAATCAGTGATTGATTCCACACTTAGACCTTGTCGAGGTTTTAACCAACTCCAGAAGGTTATCAAGAAAGTATTGAATCTGCTCAACGTTTTCTATCATGCGTAGATTGTTTTGTTGAATTGTAAGCTTTTACAATAAATTGAAATTACTTGGAATTCGGTCATACTCGAGAATTTCTAGTGAAATGATTTTTTCTTTCTAATTCTTTCTCCCATTCAACAATAATACACTTGCTTAGTGGAAAGGTTTGCCTCTAAACATATCAAAAATTGAACTGATTTGATTCAGCAGAAAATGTTACAGTCAAAAAAGTATTCACCCGAAGACTTTTGAGCACTACTATACGTCTATGAGTCCTGTCTCTTCCTGAATAAACGTCTCTTGTGAAGCTTGTGGAAAAGACGATCTCATCTGGCCATAACGCGCAGGAGATGTGTGAGTTTAGAAAGCGGGTAACAAGACAAGTTGAGCTTACCATGCTCAACCATTCAGCAGCACTACTGCTAAGGTTCTCTGCATTTGAGTTTCAAGACACACTCCGTGATTGAAAGGGTTCTGCTCAAAAGTGAATGTATTTGCGGCATATGGCCCAACAGTTACTGGAGAAACGCTGGAATAGAAACAATACTGTACGTTGTTCGGGACCCAATGAAGAATCTTGTATGGGCGGGACTTACGCTTCCTACGAAACTCCCGTTGACTGATCCCCTTGATCTCGTCCATCTACATAATGTCATCGCACATATCAAAATCAGACTCTAGCCAATGAGGCTCGCGTAGAGGCGAGGCGGGGCGCAACCCCGCCTGACGGGAGTTTCATTTTTTTTATTCTTTTCCGCTACTGGTAGACAAATTGACACAATTATTCAGTTCATTTCGCGTGCAATAACTTACATTGCTTCAGTCGCGAGATGTGACTTTAACATAAGCGGTTTCCCCGACAAAATTAGAAGAATAGGACGCTGACAACATTTCTTTCGAATAGGAGCACGGTGGATGTGAACAGATTAAACATTGTTGGGTTTAGATTGAGAATATCACATCAGTGGCTTTTCGCGAGGGCTGCCTCTGGCGTCGTGGATACAACCAACAACAAAATAGGTGACAACAGGCTTTTTTCAGGATATTCAGCTTACCCTTTAGCACTGTTTCAGATATATGCGAGCTACGGTTTGCTAAATCAGTGGACATGGGCAAAAACCTTTGGTAGGAGGACTTGACAAGGGCACTACGGTACGTTGTTGAAGGGTTCATCCTGATGGCGCTGCATCAAAATTCGATGCTGTGAACTAAAGATGAGTATTTTTGACTATGTATGGGTTAGGTGTTCTGCAGATTCCTCTTAGGAAGAAAAGCTGCAAAGAAGGAAACATTGTCTAAAATATTTGACTCATTAAACTAGCAAAACAATAAACAAAAAGGTGTTCATCTGTGATGCCTTAACTAGCTGTTGAATGATATTAACTGAAATCAAATTCATTCAACTCGCACTTATTGTAACCAAAATAAAAATGTGGGGGGAAGCATTTTTATACGCATTCTCGTCATTCAAGCCGTGCGCAAGCTTTGCACATCCAATTTAGTCGGAAGAATTCACTAAAATCCTATTGTAGTGACCACCGCTTGTGAGGTGCATAACAGGGGTAACTGCGCTTACTGGGTGGGCTAAAAAAATAAACTGCGCGCACTTGTGAGACCTCTTCGCCTTTATGCATTTTTACTAGCCTATATTGTTTTTATGTAACGCGGCTTTTTCAACTCCTGCGCTGTCATTGAACTTCCCAATAAAGCGACTTATCGGAATGGTGGAGCGTCTCAATATACTGGAATTATTAATTAAATTGCGCCGACAAGGTGTTTTGACGACCTGTGGAAGCATCTCGAAGGAGGGTCAACTGTCGCGTTCGCACTTTTCGTCAGTTCTCGTACGTATCCCTCCCCCGACCATACCACCAGCCTTAAAGGCTGCTCAATAACGGACCCACCCCTACACCAACCACCACCCTCAAAACTAGCGTTCAAAAGTGTTTGCCGAAACGATTTTCAGTGCATTATTGTTTCTGGGGAAGTGGTGTAGTGGCAAGTGGCACGCTTACCACGCGAGCGGTCCGGGGATCAAATCCTGGGTCGTGAGTCGCCCGGGCCAACCAAGCCTTCCATCCCTCCGGGGTCGGTTAATTGGTACCAGACTTGTCTGGGAGGATAAAAACACTGACTTGTACATCGGCTGGCCCCCGCAAGTCATTGTATAGGCCACATCGCATTCAAACGCCACTACGAATGTACAAATGGAAGTAGAATGCGTGCCGCATCCCAAAAAGGGATTGATCAACGGCAAATGCTTTATCCTTTTTTATTTATTTTCTCGCTTGAGCAACGCCTCCAAAGATTGATATACTATGTTTCTAGTGTTTTTATATCCTCAAGCCTTAAAGAATCAGGATATTCAAAAGAAAAATTTTCGAGGTCACCATTGATTTTTTTTGGCAAAAAAGAAGCACGAAAAACCGTTTCGGCGAACACTTTTGACCGCTACTGTATGGTAGATAAGTCATTGTTGAGAATTATTTGTAAAGGTTTGACCGTAAATTTTCCCTAGATTCATTTAGGAAGTTCACCTATAAAAGTCAATCATACTTCGTTGCAGATTGGAGACGTCATAATTTTCTTAAAACGCCAAAACTGTTCGTTTGTGGCTACCGGCGACTTTGTCTGGAAATTGCTGCGCATGGCGCGACCAGTTCAGGTTGAAGGAGAAATCAGCTGCTCTATAGTGGATGTTAGTTCAGAAACAATACATTTATTTTACTTCACAATTGTTTAACTCAATTGTTTGATCTGATATGAGAACCAGGGTGAGCCAATTTCGTGATTTACTCAACCAGCAGTAAGAGGAAGGTTGTATTTCGCACCGCACGGAAGTTGTTCTGGTTGAGTATAGTGTGAAGAGTAGGGAGAGGGACACAAGTTGAGCATAGGAGTCTAGAGAGGGAGGGAAGATTGGAAATTAGGCATGCTTCTAGAAATAGGACTTCTTTCGGAAAGATATGATGGATAAGACCTTAGCCTGGAAGGGGGGGGTCGTGGGGAGTGCCAATCCTCTTGAGTTACCTCAATGACATTACCTTACCAATGAAAGCGAATGTGGACAAAATTAAACGTATTGTACTCATTCCGTGTCAACGAAGATTAGTTCGTGTGATGAAGAAACGCCTTGTGTTGTTTGTTTTGTTTCGTGTCGCTGTTGACGAGCTGTCAGGGCAGATTTCAAACCTTCCTGTTTTTCTTCATCTCACAACCGTTGTTGTTGGGTACGAACTCGCTTCTGATTGTATCGCCATAGCAACGCAGTCTGAATTCCCCAAACAAAATTTTTCAGCTTTACCCCAAAATGCGTGAAAAGTATGGGACTGAAGCATCGTTTACTTCCATCATGTTCAAGACATAGCACTACTCACGAAATCGCGACCGAAATCGGATCGTACTCGTAATAAAATAAAAGCTCCCAGCGAATACATACTTTGCACAGGCGCTATTACCATATAAGGAGGTCATCCACTAGACTATTCCCGCTGAAAATGAAAATGCCTCCTGGATCTCTCCTACCCCCATTCGAGTCTTACCGTTTTTACCAAAAAAATTGAGATTTTTCACCACAATCAAAGTGCTATGCCATCACGATACCCGCGCACCTTGCGATAGCGCCATTCACATACCTACTGAACGCAATGACGACAGCTAAACATTTCGACTTTTTTGACTCATATGAGACAAATACAATTTAGCGAGAGTGGCCCACGAGGTCATTTTCCTTTGAAACTACAACTTTTTGGCGCGATGTGCCTTGTACTTTGTAACATTCTAGCATGGCCTGGAAGAAAGGCTTGACGAAAGGATGACATGGGAGGGACTGCATCACACCGTCGTCAATGCGTAAAATCGGTCCCAGCCAATGAGGTAGTATTTTAGGTCATCGAGTGCCCTTTCCGCAATTCCGTTAGTACTCTACGAATGGGGATCCACACTTGGACTGCAGGCGACCCAATGGGCATTCACGGTGACAACGATGGCTGTCTACGACGACTTCGCTGGGCCACGTTGTAGGTAGTTCGTTGATGTATTTTTTCAATAGTTATGAGTATTCGAGCAAAGATTCGCAAAAATGCAACGCAGAAGGTTTACTCGATGGAAACGTACACTTGGGCGCCGTGGAGCGCACTGGACTCCCTGGAGCTGTGTCATGCATTCGAATTTCATACAGCATCACAGAGTATTTGAGCGAGCATTATGGTGCGTGGTAGCCATACAATACTCCTGTTCAGGGCTATCCCTTACTTCTCTTAGAAAAGTTCAGTACTAGTTTCGGAAGCTTGTATGACCGAAGGGGATTCCAATCCTTCGCGAACAGTTGCAAGCACCTCCAACAACTGCGATTTCTTGACCAAGTCTTCCAATAAGTCATTGGTACTCATTGGTAAAGCGCTTTACAACAATGCTTCTCAACTAGTTATGGCCAGACAAATGTTCCAAACCGTATTATATGTATAGTATAGTATGGTATGTAGCCGGGATATTCAACAATTCCCTTCGAAAAAACTGAGCGCTCTTGGTGGCTCACCATTTACCAAATCTTCAGCCACTAGCGGTCCTCCTACTGATAGTAAATTATCTGCGGGGATAAAAACAATTACTTCTATAAGGATGTCCCAAAATTTCCTACCAATATTCAGATCTAACATCAAAACTTAATGTAGCGATTTCTATATTCAAGAAGGCTACAAAGAGCACCTTCATGTGGAGAACATACAATCAACAATCATGCTCGCCCTAGTTGCCTTCTTCGAGTTGAAAGTGGCAGAACGAAATAGCCATATCTCTCACGCTTTGATTTATAAACTTCCACTGAAACCGATTGAAGCCAAAAGCTACATTTACTTTGCTATCCATTCTTGTTAAAAAGCAGTCACTTTGCAGATAAAAATTAAGATTGAAAGAAGGGCCTCAGGATCAACCTCACTGCCTTTTTGAGCTATAACACGGCATTGACTCTTCAGCAAAGAAGAATATAAAGAAGTCACCGATAGCGATGGTTCATTTATTGTTGGTAGATGATTTTGTTGAAATAATGTTAATTCAAACAAAATGTTTGAAAGTGCCACGCTTCAAATGCTATCACGCTATTCAAGTAGAATGCATGGCGCACCTTGAAAAGAGGTTTATCAGCGCCGAATGCTACCTTCCTTCATTTATCATTTATTTAACATTCATGTACGATTTCAAGAGGTAGAGTTTAGTACCTCGTGGATATGTCTGGCCGTGGATTGACGGACACATGCAAAAACCGTATTGCAGCTACTGTTGAGAAAACGAAATGGAAGGAGTGGTCTGACGGCAATCCACTAAGCTTTATCAGTTAGCCAATTACCTATCTTAGATATTTATATAACATGAGCGAGTGAAACATTTTCAGCTTCTACCTCCTGCGAACGTTGGGTTTTGCAGTAGAAGATGTCAATTTGCAGAACCATCTCAACACCGTCATTGAGAACAAAAAATCGAAAAAAGGTAAAAGATTGCAGCTTATGGTCTCTCTCAATCAGATTGTTATTGTACTTACTAAGGTGCAATACCGTAATTTGTCCCTGCGTA